GGGCCAGTTCACTCCAGCTGGGGCACAGAGGTATGAGACAACTGCTTTCCCCATGAGATTTTAGAATCTAGTTGGAGAATAAGAACTGGTACCGTTGGGTGCAGTTAACACCTGTCTAGGGAGGGGACAGGAGCAGAGAAAAGATCTTTCACTGAATACCTGTTTGTACTTTGAGCCTGACTATATTACCTATTCAAAAATTAATAAAACGAAAACAATAGCACAGGCAGTAAGTGGCAAGTTGAAGAGGTAGAGCTGTCTATGGGCATGAAGGCGTCAAGGAGGAAATGGGGATTCGGTGTAGAGGCAGCTTCCTGCACTCAGCTGGGGTTGAGCTATGTCTGCTGGGCCAGCACAAGGAGTTCTGCTTGAGCTAGACACCTCATAAATCCTGGGACTGCCCCTGCTAAGCACAGACTCCCACAGAAGGCAGAAGTGTTTGCCATGACAGTGTTAAACTATGCCACAGGTCGAACTTCCCTGATATTTTCTGTCTACCTACCCACAACAGCAAGAAAAGAGGGGGCACAATTAGAAACAAAGGTGTGGTAATAATGTAGTTACCAGCTGCTGCAAGTGTTCAAGACTCACCTCCTCCAGGAAGACCTCCCTGACCGACTCCCTCAGAATCACCCAGGTCACTTCAGCTCCTACTTCCTGGCATTGCGTTGTGGTCCCTTGAAGTGGGGTCGGCCTTTGTTACTTTTATTCCCTCTGAAGAAAGAGACCTAGGGTTAAATTGAGCCCTTCCCAGGCATCTGTTCTCTCAATCCAACCTGGCAGTCTACGGCTTTCTCTCTGGAGCCTGCAATTCCTCCAGGTACTACCCACATCCTGAAGTGCAAGGAGACACCTGTGATTAGCCCTGGCAGTAAGGGGCTCAACCTCTAGTTTGTTTGCTCAGCATGCAGGCAACAGGAAAGAATCACCTGAAAGAGACACACACTACTCATCTGGTGGAAGGCAGAGACTGGGATTAAGGATTCCTGCTCACTGCGTAGATGACTCCCGAAGTGCGGTTAGCAAGGTCAGGTCACTGTTTTACCAGCTTTGGGAAGGAACAGCTCCCTCCTGCATGCAGTACGGTACTTTGTCAAGTGCAGAGCTTCACAGGATCCTCCCCCAGTGTCTTGTGTAGCTCCCTCACCTTTGGGTTCCCACAGTATGGCCACCAAACCAGTGCATTGGCAAGCGTGCCTACAGTCCTCATCCACTCATTCCCCTTCTGCTGCTGCTGAGCGTTCATTCCCAATCCTTTTTCCTCCAGCCGCTCTTGGGATCTCAGCACGTGGGACCATCTTGGTTTCAGTACTGAGATGATGTCAGAACACAAATTTACCTTCTCTCACTGGTCTAAGGGAACTGAGCCTTCACCCAGCTCAGTGTCTATCACACTGCTGACTACAACCCACTATAGGATTGTGAAATAAACTTAAACTGTTGCAAATCAGCATAAAAAAATTCTTTTAAAAAGATTAGAATGGAATAGAACAAAAAAGTACCAAAGTATGTCACATGTAATATAGGCATTCCTTTATTGAAATGTCATTGCAGTTATTACACACTAGAGGCCCGGTGCACGGATTTGTGCACCAGTGGGGTCCCTCGGCCTGGCCTGCGCCCTCTCGCAATCTGGGACCCCTTGGGGGATGTTGGACTGCCGTTTTTTGGCCCAATCCCGCAGGCAAGGCTGAGGGCCTTTAGTATGCATATAAGATCTTTGGTTAATCTCTTCCTGCTCTCCCCACTCCCCGCTTCCCTCTGAAATTCATCAGTCTGTTCCACGTTTCCGTGCCTGTGCATTGAGCGTCTGCCCTCTGGTGGTCATTGTGTGTCATAGCTACCAGTCGAAAGGTCGCTTAGGCTTTTATATACTAGTATATAGATATGTAAGGAGTGTTTCAAACGTCTTAGTGCAGTTTTAAGCTCTAATAACGTCAGAAACAGAAATGCTACAGACTTTCAAAGAACATCATTTGAAAGTTTTTATTTAAACTTATAATTTCTTTTTGAGTTTTATGAATTTTGAGTAAGTTTTTATTTTGATGTTTGTCTCAATCCGTTGATGATAGACACTTCCCAATACAAACTTAAATTGAAAATGTGGTATTAAAAATTCATAAAGGTAAAACAATGGAAACTCTTACATTTTCAAGTTGTGTTTTTTTGGTTAGTTTGCAGAGTTCATACCTCTGATGTGATTTAAGTGTAAAATTGCCCCTAAGACTTTTGAGATACCCTATCACATGTGAAGTGGGTATGAAGTTTTGTTGTAAAATGTTTTTCTTATGTTGGTCCAGTCATAGAAATCTGAAAGCCACTGACACCATCCAATTACACCCTAGGCTCCCCCAGGAGGCCTTCTTAGATCTCTCCCATTGTGCCCCTCAGCAGACTTTATATGTCTACCCTGGCCCCATCACAGCCTTCCCTGTGTGGGGAACTCCTCTCTCACACCTCTGTGAACTCCTAGACGAGATGCCAGGTTGTTTTCACCTCTTTATCACTTGCAAAATCCCACACAAGTTTAGTATGTAGGAAATAGTCCATAAACGCTTGTTAAATGAGATCAGGACAGACAGGTTAAAGCTACAAGGGTTAAGCACTGTCTTCACCAAGTGATGTTTTGAATGCACTTATTCTAACAAGCATGGAGTTACATGATATTCTGTGGTTAAGCCTCAGTGTGCCACATTGACTAGGTCTGTCTGTGAGTCTAGCACCCTCATTTCACAGGTGAGGGCTTCCCTATTGTCACACGGCTTGTGGCTCCCAGAAGCACATGGCAATCTCCTAACCCCCAGGCCACGGCTCTGTTCCCACATCTTACCCCTTGGAGGTCCCCTGGGAAGTTTTGGGGCTGGGTTTGGCTCTCCTGAGCCTGGGGCAGGGCTGTTGTCATGAGCATCCCAACTTCACTCTCAGAACCACCACCTCCCCCACCGCCATCCCCACCTCTCACTCCAGGCTACAAAGACTGCCAAAACTGGAAGTCCCAAGCAAACTTTCAGCTTTTATGAAAGCCAGGGTAAACAAGGCAGAACACACCCTTGCCGGCCAGGTGGCCTCTTTGTAACAAAGTTTCTTTCTATTTATCAGCTGAGCGGCTCACCTCCGGGAGACGTGGCAGCCAGGAAGTAAGACACCACCACAGGGATGTTTGTTCAAGTGAGTCAGACGAAGGCCAGGCCCGATTACAGGGTTTCTTCGAAAAGAGATGACTGCCGCCACTCTCACCCAGGGCACAGGTGTGTGGAGCCGGACAGCATGTTGGGAGAGGGGACAGGTCAATTTCAAGCTACTGGTGGGGGGAGGGGGCCCAGAGGCTGCTTTGGTTACACGATCATCCCTTTCTTCCTTGCCATCAAACACAGCACTCATTTCACTTCCTCTCTTCTCATGCTGTGCACAAAGTAGCAAATGATCCCCTTCAAGCCCCTCCTCCCAACGCTGACCCTTCTGATTACAGAATGCGGGAGGTTTTCACTTTTCTCTGTAATTACACCTTTAAGACACTTCAGCTGCTGTGGCTTATTTTCCCAGAGAGACACACTGGAAGTTATTTCTGTAGCTCGTCTATCAAGTTCTTCCCCCACCATCTCTAGGTTCATTTTATGTTTGCATAACATTTTAAGCTTATAATCCAAACACAAATTTTTCAATTGAAATAACCTACCCAACTTTGCTCACACTATGTACCTAGAACAGTGCTTGACACTCAGTAAATATTTGTTGATTTTTATTACACATTTGTAAAAGCCCTTGAAAATCAAACGAATGTGTAATCCAAGAGGAAGTTCAAGAGCTAGCTCACAGCATCTCCCTGGAGTTGCTTCCAGGCCCTGACAGGTGGGGCAGGGATGTGCAGCTATACTCAAACTGAGCGCTGACACTGATGGCTCCTAGGAATCCAGGGATGAAAAGAGGAACCTTCAGGTGGGTGTGAGGTGGGATTTTCTAAACTCTGGTAACAGGCTGGGTTTGAGAGAAGGCCAAAAAAAAAAAAAAAAAAAAAAGGAACTTGAATTGAGTTTTAACATCGGTCAGCTGGGGCAGTGGCGAGAGGGAGTGTTAAGAGAGGTATTTCTGAAGGCTTAGACTGGTCTCCAGATTGGGGTGGGGGTGATAGGAGAGGACAGAACTGAAGTTTTTCCTTCCCTCTTCACCCCGCAGTCTGCTCCTGGCTGTAGGCCTTTTCCTCAGGTCCACCAGATACTCAACATGCCACACCCTGAACTCGGGGTCTGTGCCCTATCCCCTAACCTAGCCAGCGTTCCCAGTTTCCCCACTGCAGCCAGTAGCCTCGAAATCCTACAAACAGCCTCTGCTCCTGCCCCACTCCCAGGTGTGTAGTTTGAATCCCTTCCCAATTTCAGGTTTACCCCGTGCCCACTGCCGAATTCTGCTGATTCATTCCCTGCCTCCTGGATTCTCCTCTTCCTCTCTACTCAAAACTCATCTGAGAATGGCCCTTATCGCCCAGCATCTGTAGGATAAGCAGAAGCTGCCTGCCCTCCGCCTTTGCCTCAGGCCTCCTCCCTTTCACAATCCGAACAGCCATACGTATATTTCTTGAGCCCCATCTGACTGCATGTTTCTACATGGCCTGGGCAACCTGCTTCCTGTTTGCTACTCACCCTCCCTGGTTATCTTTTCCTCCTCGGAGACCCCCCCCCCCCTTATGTTTTTGCCAAGCAAGCCGCTTTTCTTTTTCAAATTCCTACTTGAAACTGCCCTCCTCCAACAAGGCCTCTTAGGCTAAGGTGCATCTCACTGCCCCCCGTATTTGTTTCCAAGTTTCACTACCCACGTTTCTCTATGTGGGGCTTCCCCACTAGATTTATGGGGGACAACCAACAGGCCTAGACACTAGGCCACTTAGATCCTATTTTCTTTCTCCATCCCAGTCCTTAAATCCTGGTCCCAATCTTCTGCCTCTGGCATGCAATCCACCTAGCCTCCCAGCCCCTGTGGTAGCCCTTTGCCCCGAGGTTTTTGGTTGTGCTCTTCCGCTGCTCTCATCTGCCCGCCTTTTGTTCCCCGTTAGTCAGAGGTAGAGCTGAGAGTGAGGTTTGGGCTTCCTCCTTCTTCCAATCTCTGTGTAGGGCTCAGGACCAGACTGCACAGAGCACAGGAGGATAATCTGACCCCACAGGCTTGTAGGTGCCACAAAGGAGTCTTCTAACAGTCCTTTTCCTCCCCAGACTGAACCCATCCTTGTTCACTGTGCACGCCGTTTACATGGCACAATTACAGCATTGAGCTCACACAGAGACAGTCACTGCCCTGTACTTGACCTCTCCTTTATTCAAACCCTCACTCTCATTCCCATCAAATGAGAACGAACATTCTGGGCTTTCCCAGAGCGGAGCAGAGGGCCGTATGAAGAGCTAAGTTCACCCATGTCTTCGGCACAGCCATTCACCGGGCCCTCTGCTGTGCAGACACCTACTCTGGTCCTCAGCTTCACTTCTAGGGCTGGAATATGCCTAACAACCAGAGTTAGTTTAGGACAATACCACCACTTTTTAAATGACTGCTTACCACGTCAAGTCAACAGTTACCTTCAGTTACAACAGTTACCTTCTCCATTTTTACACAGAAGGAAACTGAAGCACAGGGAGATAAGGTAACTTGATCAAAGTCGCACAACTAGGAAGTAGCAGAGGCAGGATTTGCACTCAGACCCACGTCTCTCCAAAGCCCACTCACTGCCTAAACCATGACATCACACCGCCTTGCATTCGGCTGGTGCTTGGAGCTTTGCCAAAGCACTTTCCCTCCACCTTCTCATTTGCTCTCCACCCAGGGAGTGTTTATGTGCTTTGGCCAAGATTAGACAGCGAAATTAGCGACAGGGCTGATAGGCTGCCTGCCTCCTATGCCACTGCCTTCTCAAACAGAGAGGCCTTGGGAGTCAGGGTTAACTGCTCCCCTTGACTTCTGTTCTAGGCAATGGCTACCTGGACTAAGCCCAAGGTCATATTTCCTGTCCAGGTTTCTCCCTCCTGAGCGAGGGCTAAGATGTTTCTGATCTCACAGGGCATCTGAAAGGTATCAGGACCTCCCTTCGCATGCCTGAGCGCTTCTATGCTGCTACAGGTGGGAGTCAGCTGTCCCGCCAACTGTGGGCAATGATTACCCAGGATGAGGCCATCTTGGGCAGTCCAGGATCCTTCATGGTTCCTTCCTACCAGCTCCAGACCACCTCTTCCATTTGACAGTCCTGCCCTGTGCCCCTTAAAGTGTTACCTCTGGGTACCTAAAGTGAATGGCGTTCCTGAGGAACAGGAACTTAGGGAAGTACTTGCAATGATATTGACTTCTGCTGGATAATGTGAAGCAAAGTATATTTTAAACCCCTCCCCTTAGAGCAACGGTTCTCAACCTGGGGGTCGAACGACCCTTTCACAGGGGTCGCCTAAGACCATCGGAAAACACGTATATAATTACATATTGTTTTTGTGATTAATCACTATGCTTTCATTATGTTCAATTTGTAACAATGAAAATACATCCTGCATATCAGATATTTACATTACGATTCATAACAGTAGCAACATTACAGTTATGAAGTAGCAACGAAAATAATTTTATGGTTGGGGGTGACCACAACATGAGGAACTGTATTAAAGGGTCGCGGCATTAGGAAGGTTGAGAACCACTGCCTTAAGAATGTATTATTCATCACATGAATTTGCCCATCTCATCCTTTTGACCCTTCCTGTGATGGGCAGGGATATGGCTGATCTCTCTGAGAGAATAGCGCCTGGGTAGTATACACACATCTCTGGTTAAATGAACACAGCCCCAGGGTCTTTGCTGTGTCCGAGTTGTTAGCCAACCTCTTTGGGTCTGGGGTGTGCTGAAAGTATAGCATCAAAACCCTCCCTGGGACTGTTGCAATGAGCTGTTGGCCAATAGAGAGGGTCTGTTCTAAGTTTTGATGGCAAACTGAACACACTCCTCACCATGCGGCGCCCCCCCCCCCCCCCCCCCACACACACACAGGAGAGCTCTGTCCTACCCTCTGCTGAGGTCGGGGTCTAGGACAACTCACTCTGGGCGTAAATCACAGTCTCTCCTCTTGGTTAGCCCGGGCTTGGAACACATGACGGGGAAATGGGGAAGTTGGTGACAGTCACAGTCATGAACGCACATCAGACTCCCTCCCACAATACCACACGGCTCCCGCTCCCGTCTGCACAAGAGGGAGGCCCTCCCAGAGGGCCCCACCAGGAGGCTTCTCTCGCTGGCCTCGCCTGCTCAGGGGGACTCGCCCTGGGGAGGGACCTGTCCTGAGAGACCTTCTGTAGCGGGGCACATCGGGCAGCCCAGCCTGAGAGCCGGCACACAGGAATGGGGCGGCAGCACGGGTGGGCGCAGGGAAGAGGTGCAGAGCCCCGGAGGGAGTGCTATGGCTTATCCCTCCTCCACCCCACCCTCCCTTACCAGCCACAGAGGTCCGAGCTTTCCTTCCATCCGTCCTTTCAGGAAGGCACGCAGGTGGAGGGGAGCCTACCGAGGGGGAAGCTAGAGGCCACCACGACAGATGAGGGCCAGTCTGGCCCACCCTCTTCCTTCTATTGTGGGGGATGAGGGGGAGAGGAGAAGGAGGAGGAGGAGGAGATGGAGGAGGAGGAGGAGGAGGAGGATATGGAGGAGGAGGAGATGGAGATGGAGATGGAGGAGGAGGAGATGGAGGAGGGAGAGG